CCCGAGGTAGAGGTGAGAGTTAGTGTCTGGCTGCTTTGATTTTCTGATATTCTGCTTGAAGTTTGAACCCCAATATCAGTCTCTGGGTTCTTTTATTTATTCATGTTACGGGTCCCTGCTCACTCAGGACAGCCTCAGGGCTACTGTTCCTGTGCCACTAACAGTGGTCCACCTCTGCACTCAGAAGGACTCTGGGTGGACAGGAAAATCCATGGTCACTCTGTGTTGAAGGTCAGAAATCGAGTTTGAACTAAAGCTTGCAGTGTGACTGACAGGTCCAGGACAGTGGTTATTATGAGGAATTCTGCATCCTAGCCAGGAGACATTGAGCCATAGCAGGAGAGACATCTGTCATTGTCACAGCTGGCTCTGTACACATCTAGCAGGCAGAAACCAGGGCTTCTACGCACTCTAAGCCAGATAGCACAGCTCCCGTCCAAAAGAAGTGCCCAATGGGTATCAACAGGAAGGACATAATATTAGAATACTAAAGTAAATCCCACTGAAGGAAAAGTGGAGGGGGGAGAGATAGTTTTCACTAAGACAGAGGGAATGCAGAGAGAAAGAATAAGCCTATATTATCAGTATGGTGGCTTACACCTGTAGTCACAGCACTCAGGAGGCTGAAACAGGAGGGTTGGTGTGAGTTTGAGGCTAGCTTGGGCTACATGGTAAATCCCAGGACAGCCTAGGCTCCTAAGTGAGAACCTGTTTCATACATATGAACACACAATGGTACCTATATGCCCATTTCAGCAATTGCCATAGCCAAATGGCAGCTCCCAGCCAGGAAATGAACTTGGCTTTCCTCCTGGTGATACTGAACAACTTCAAATTTCACAGTGTCATGTCTCCTTTCCCTCTGTCTTCTCCTCTGTGCTGGGGGTGTGGGGAGGGGTAACCCAGGGTGTGTCTACCTGACACAGTGGCTGGGAGCAACTTCACAGGCGTACCAAGCTGTTTAAATGGTTTGGCAAACATAGAATTCACAGATGCTGGGCCACCCACCAGTCCTGATGCAGAGTGTCACCTCTGAGCTTACAGAGGTGGGGGCATCCCTCACTCATCCAAATCCCTGAGGAGGGAGGAGAGCATGGGGAAAGCCAGGCTGCATGCTTGGGGGCAGCTCTGGAATGCCTGGTTATCCACCAGGGACAGCCGTCACTCTCCACTTACTCCTGAAGTGGTCATTGATCCCAGTTGATTGCCAGCCCCATGTGTGGCCTTCTCAGGTCCTGTTGTGTGAATCGTAACTTGTGTTTTGGGACCAGTGACAGAATGCAGATAAGACCTCTAGCACTGTCCCTTTCTGTGGCACATTTTAATATGCATACACATCCCCTATACCCCATTACGTAATGGTCTTGGTTGCAAGCACTTACCTGTCTAGTCGGAACTCAATTAGCAAATCGTCCCTCTCTATAAATATTCATTAATGATGAAGTCAGCCAGAGCAGTGGAATCCAGAGAAAGATCATTATGAACCCTAGCACAGCCTCTCCCTCCCCTCCAGCCTGTGGGGAAGACAGGCCAAGGGCAAGCAGGGACTCACATGGTAGGAATTCCCAAGAAGCCCAATGGGGACTGGAGAGATGGTCTCAGTGGATAAAGAGTTGCCGTGCAACCGTGAGACCCTGAGTTCAAATCCCAACAGAATCCATTTAAAGCCAGCCTGTCTGCAATACCAAGTGTTCTGCAGCAAGATGGGTGGCAGAGGTAGGAGAATTCTTTAGATGACAAAGTGACCCTGTCTCAAAGAAGGTGGAGGGAAAGGACCAACATGCAAGGATGTCCTCTGATTTCCACATGTGCTGTGATACATGCATCTGCATATGCGAATGTGTGCATGCATGTGTGCATGCATATGTACACAACATACACACACACACACACACACACACACACACACACACACACACACACACCGAGCTGAAGTCAAATCAGGCCAGGGCATGCTTAAGAAAGTAAAATGGGAGCCTGCAAGCGTACTGAGTAATGAGGATCCTGTCTTCTGTGTTCCAGGACTCAGATTTTCTCTCAACCATAATCATTTCCCCCCAAGTGCTGTGGAGTCTGTTGGAAAAACCTTTATGCCAATAAAAATGCATGCAAGGCTCTCAAAATACCCTCACAGATAGATCTGCAAGCTTGCTTCCACACAGAAGCACTGGAAAATCCAAACCATCCACCGGATTCACCTTCCGAAGGAGGAAGAGGAAGGCCTGCATTAAAACTGGTCACTGGGAACTGCCCGTTCCCCTAGGTCCATCTGCGGATCTGAAGGGAAGAGACAGCATTGGTTACAAACAAAATGGATGACTACCGTGTTGCCAATTACCTCCTTTAATTGACAGTTAATTTTAAAACTCTCTCTGGAGCAGCGGAGGTCTTAAAGAGACTACTTGCTGGCAAATGGAGGCTAGAGACTCCTCTTGGGGAAAGGGTGTGCTTTCTCAGAGACAGAAAGATGAGGTCTCTTGGACAACCTGCTTCATTATTCTGGGTGCTAAGAATAGGAGAGACCAGGTCCTACAAGATGGCTCAGTGGGTAAGGAGCTTGCTGCTAAGCCCAGCGACCTGAATTGGATCCCTGGGACCCACAAGGTAGAAGGTGAGAACTGATAGTTGACCTCTGACGGCTACGCACATGCCGTAGCCCTCATGCAGAGGCACCACAGTGTGGACATGGAGGATGACGTGTTGGAGTCAGTTCTCTCCTTCTACCATGTGGGTACTGGGGGGTCAACTCAGGCTGTCAGGCTTGACAGCAAGCTCCATTACCTGCTGAGCCATCTCAGTGACCCCAATTGAGGTTTAAGCTTCAGTGTAGAGTATTTACTACCCAAAGTGCTTGGTACCAGAAATGTTTTCAGTTCTGCTTTTTTCTTCCCTTTCTCTTTTTCTTTTCTTTTGTTTTTTGTTTGTTTGTTTGTTTGTTTGTTTTTTCTGAAACATGGTTTCTCTGTGTAGCTTTGACTGTCCTGGAACTCACTCTGCAGACCATGCTGGCCTCGAGCTCACAGAGATCTGTCTGCTTCTGCCTCCCAAGTGCTGGGATTAAAGATGTGTACTACCTCTGCCCGGCTTGGATTTCTTTTCTATTTACAGACATGTTAAAGGTTTGGGGACAGGACCCACGTCTAATCCCAGCATCCACTTCTTTCATCCACACCGTACACAGCTGCTGACAGTCGCTCGATAGACCCTCTTCAGCAATGTACAGGATGGTGGTTTCCAGGCCCAGAACTTTCCATTTGACATCATGTCAACTCTCAGAAGGTTTCTGATTCCGAGGCATTTCTGATTTTGATTATTGGATCAGGAATGCACATCCTGTATGAAATTGGGGTGGGGGACAGGAACACTTGGTTGCTCACAGTCACAGGTTCCAGTCTGCCCTCATGATGTCCTAGAGTGCTCTTGGTCATCCTCGTTTCTTATGAGGCTCTTGTGTAATTTCTTCTGACTTTCTCATGTGATAGGAGCATTTTTGTTATCCACGAACCCCTGCATGCATCTAAGCTTATGTTAAAATACAGATGTTTGAGGATGGGGCCAGTCACCAATAGGTCTGTGTCCACCTGAGAGGTTTGGCACTCTGGGCACTCTGAGGAAGACACGAGGCTGGACAGCCCCTTGGCAGCTCTGGGGATTCCTGGTAGGGGTGAACACAGTGATGTGACCAGAGGTGGTCTACCTTGATTTCATAGAAGGGCTCTGGATTAAGGGACCCTCCTAACCTCACCTTGTCCGTTTCTCCCTTGGTGGTCCTGGTCATGTCTCCTAGGATAAAATGCAGTGAGTGGTCTATGTGTATAATGCTCCCCTGAGATCTACCAGCTGTCCTGGTGAATGGCCACACCAAAGGGGTGGGGGAGGTCACTGGAACTACTACTCTCTGGTTTTATAGCCCACTGGCCAGGAGTGCAGGCGGCCTGGAGTCTGTGATTGTAGCTGGTGTCTGATGTGGGGCAGTCTCACCAGGGACTGTGCCCTCAAAGCCACTTCAGGTGGTTGGCTGATGTTAGAGATGAATTGAAGTGTGCCTGTTGTCAGAGTGACAGCCCTATACTGTTTCCAAACACTGTCCTTCACACTCCAAGGTCAAGATGAGAAGCTAAACAATGGCCTTGAAGAGACCACTAACAGCTTACACAGCTATCATTCTCTGTCCTTGGAAGGTGCATATTCTCTCTCTCCTGCTCCCTCTCTCTCTCACACGCACACATTCATACATATGCACACACATGCCTATTTACACCCACATATACACACACATGCACACATATGCATGGGGGCACATGCACAAGACACACACACACCATATATACACACGCAAAGCATACACATGCACATATATATATAAATACATGAAGATATGGACACATGCATGCACATATACAAATGTGCACACATATACATGCACACACATGCTTGCATATACACAAGCACATGAACACACATGCTTGCATATACACAAGCACACACACACACACACACACACACACACACACAACTGTGTGCCTTGTCCTGAAAAGATGGAAGGAAAAGTCTGTTCGCCCACATGGAACAGGCACTGACAGACCAAAGAGGAGATTCCATCCGAGGGTGGCTTTCAGGTTGGTTACTGGTGGCTCAAAGCCACCACTAGAAAGTCCCTTTGGTGTCTTGAGGGCAGCTACAGCACCCACAGCCTGGATGACTCACCAGAAGCTGCACCACTCTCCCAGAGTGCCCTGGGAGATAGATGAGCAGCTACACCCTCAAGAGTCCCAAGAAGCCGATTCACTCACACTACCTCAGGGCCTCACGAGGACCTCATGAGCCCCTTGGGCCTCTTGAGCCCCACAAGGCAATGTTAACAGGCCTGATCTCATGGAGGGGGCCCACAGGTGCAGTGATTAAAGTGGCTGTGATCCTGTCCCACCAGGAGGAAACAGTTACACACCACACACCTGTGTGCATGTGTGCACGGATTTGTGCACCACGGCCCCACCCCCATGCACAAGTTCCCACCTGCTCCACCCCGGGCCCTCGGTGGTCTCGTGCTGGAGACCTGGGTGCTGAAGAGATGGGATTCTTGCTTCTGCAAACACAGGAGGTGTGACCATCGCACTGGAGCTGCCACAGGAAGGGTAGGACCATTGGAGATGCTGGGTGCGGTTTGAGGAAGCTAGCATCATCTGCCTGTAGATACCTGGAGGAGATTACCGGGGACCAGAGGTTGAGTGTGGATCTGCCAGGAACCGTTCCTTTTTTAAAAAAAAATTTCTTCCAATATATTTTTTATTTAAACTAGAAACAGTCTTGCTTCACAGGTCAATCCCAGCTTTCTCTCCCACCCCTCCTCCCTTGCCCCTCCTCCAGCCCTCCAAGTCCCCCACCCAGTCCGCACACTGGTCTCCAGGGAGGGTGAGGCCTCCATGGGGGATCTCTAGAGTCTGTCATTTCATCCAGGGCAGGCCCTAGGCCCTCCCCCATGTGTCCAGGCTGAGAGAGCTTCCCTCCATGTGATATGGGATCCCAAAGTTAATTCATACACTATGGTAAACACTGACCCAAGGCCCCAGAGATTGTCAAGGCCTCCTCACTGACCCTACATTCATGGAGTCTAGATCAGCCCCCTGCTGGCCTCTCAGCCATCAGTCTGGGGTCCAAGAGCTTCCCTTTGTCAGGTCAGCTGTCTTTGTGGGTTTCACCAGCATGGTCTTGACCCCTTTGTTCATCACTCTTCCCTATCTGTCACTGGGTTCCAGGAGTTCAGTTCAGTGTTTAGCTGTGGGTATTTGTCTCTGCTTCCATCAGCCACTGAATGAAGGTTCTAGGATGGCATATAAGGTAGTCCTCAATCTCATCATCAGGGAGGGGCTATTAATGTAGTCTCTCCACTATTGCTTAGTTTGCCAGTTGGTGTCATCCTTGTAGATCTCTGGAAATCTCACTAGTGTCAGCTCTCTCCTCAAACCTTAATGACTCCCTTTATTATCTCTTATCCTGCTCTCCTCTATTCTTCCCCTAACTCAACCTTCCTGCCCCCCCCATGCCTTCCTCTCCCCTCCTCTTCTCCCCCTCTCCCCCCTTCCCTTTCCCCTCCTCCCATGTTCCCAATCCACTCAGGAGATCTTGCCTCATTCCACTTCTCTGGGGTATCATGCATCTCTCTTGGGAACCTCCCTGTGTCTCAGACTCACTGGCACTGGGACTGTAGGCTGACACTCCCCTGATCTATGTCTAAAATCCATATATGAGTGAGTACATACCGTGTTTGTCTTTTTGTGTCTGGGTTACCTCACTCAGGATGGTTTCTTCTAGTGCCATCCATTTGCCTGCGAATTTCAGGGTTCCATTGTTTCGGGAACCGTTCCTAGCTGCGTGCTTCCCCGACACATATCCAAACCAGACAACTCCAGTACTACATGCAGTTTCCCTCCATCTGGCTTTTCATTTTTTTTTCACATTTTATCTTATTATTGGACAATTTCATATTTGTGTATGCTGTGTTTTGATCATTTTCACCCCATTATCCTCTTTCATCTCCCTTTCAGTTCCTCAGAATCCCTTCCTCCCAACAGGCTTCATCCTGTTATGTTGTGGGATTTTTTTGTTAGTTTATTATTATTACTATTATTAGTGTGTGTGTGTGTCCTGCTGAGTTAGGGCTGCTTGAGTGAATAAGATGCCTCTTAACTTCCCCAGCAGCCATTAATTCCCAATGGCTCCTCCCAGAGGGTGGGGCCCGCCCCACGAGCCCCCTCCCCAGAGGTGACAGGTGTTGACAGACTCAGTCTGGTGTAGGTGGTGTGTAGGCACTAAGAGCCACTGTGAGTTCATGAGTGCGACAGTCACATATCCAGAAACGGTGTTCCATAGCACGCCTTGCCTTCAGGAGCTCAAACTCTTTCTTCCTCTCTTTCCCCGTGTCCCCTGAGCTGTGCAGTGGGTGACGTAGATGTCGCTTTTAGGGCTCAGTCTTTTTTACTTTTGAGACAGAGTCTCACACTGTACCCCAGGATGGCCCGGAAGTTGCGGCAATCCTCCTGCCGTAGGACCTGGTGCTGAGATTCTCAGGCATGGGTGTCCACATCTAGCTCCCCATGGCTTTATGTGTGTACCGCGCGGCATCAGACAGCTACCAGACCTTACCTTTAAGCTGACGGTCCACACACACGTGGCTCTTATCAGATCCACTTAACTGATGAGACGAGTAAGGTTTACAAAGTCACATGCTTGAGTATAAGGGGGCCATACAAATGCATCCTGCAAACAGCAGAGCTTGGATTCTGTCTCTGGTCTCTCTAATTTCAAGCTCAGCCTGTGGCTGGCCTTGAACCCTCCAGCCCAGGAAGGCCCCTCCATACCCCTGACACTAGATGAGGCGTCTCCATTGTTCCTTGCATCTGCTAGGTTCACCACCTCCCCCATGGCCCTCTCTCCCTTAGCTGGCTCCTACTCAATGGCAGGAAAGCAGAGAGGAGGAAAATGTCCCCAGTTCACCCCAGCTTTGGGTGGAACTCTGGTTATAAATACCCAGCAGCTTTTGAAAACTCCCAGTTAAACAAACTTGGGTTTTGAACCTGCCTGGTCAGCCTGCTTCCAGAGTCACCACGCAAAACTGGCGGTTGGTTCTTGGCAGCCTTGCTGACATGGCGATTGGTGGCTTATTACCACGGTTGTCTCACCCAGTTCTGTCCTGTAACAAGATTTAGTTTTTACTTTTTATTTTTTGAAATTAGGAAGGCTTACCTTCCTTCCTGCATGACATTCATTTTCAAGCAACTTGGGACCAGCTCTGAGGTTCATAGGTGGCACAGTGGGAATGCATTTGCTTTGCTGCCTTTGTTTTTTCCCTCTTTGGGCGATTTAATGCTTCATGCAGACCAATTGTCCCCAGGCGGGAAGACAAAAGGCTCTGGTGGCATGGGCTGAGAGGGGCTCCAGTGGGGCTGACTGGGGGCAGCTGGGGTGGAACAGAATTGGACTAGGACGCGTCTTCCTGCTTACCTGGGGGTGCTGCTGAAATAGGGGGTACAAGGATCATCTTCCTGTGATTTAGATGCTGGATGTGGGGATGGTCGAGGGAACTGTGTGCCGATGCTGGATGTGGGGATGGTCAAGGGAACTGTGTGCCGCCTTCCTGGTCTGTGAGCAGTTGGGAATGAGGACCCTTGTCTGGGTGGGATTTGAGCTAGCTGGCTGTCACAAGATCATAACTACCTTGTCAATCAACCGGACAGCTAACCTGCAGAAGGTTGTCGGGAAAGGCCGGGTGAGGAGGAAGCCCCGCTGATGTGAATGTTTTGTTTCTGACAAGAAAGGGTTAAAGCCACCTGAGTCAGGGCTGTTCCCATTCTCTCTGGAAAAATTGCCAGCTCCCATGGTCCTTTTCTTTGGGGTCTACAGCCATGGGTTCAAAGCCTGAGAACAACTGCCCTGAAAAATCTACAAAGCCCTTATTTTCTTTTCTTCTTTCTTAATACAGGATTATACAGCCCAGGCTAGCATTGAACTCACAGTGATCCTCCTGTCTCAGTCTCCTGAGTGTTAAAATTACAGATCTGTGTGGCTATGCCTGGCTGGGTTCCCTCCCTCCCCCATCAACTTTCTATTTCCTTCCTTTTCTTTCCCCCCTTGTTTCTCCTCTCTCTCCCTGCCGTTTCTCTTTCCATCGGATGTGGACATACACAGATTAACTTTCCATCCCCAGTTGATGGATATGCACTTGTTTACCGAGACAGGCTTCAGTGGAGATGGGGCTCGGCCATCTGCTCCCTGCCCAGGAATGTCTACCTGCCGATTCCTCCAAGTAGAATTGCTGATGGAACAGGCACATGACTTCCTACAGATGCTGAGACTAGTCACCACCGACCGGGTGACCTCAGAGCACAGACTCGCTCCCCCACAGTTCTTTAGGTTGGGAGTGTGCACCAAATTTCCCTGGACTAAAACAGGGTGAGTTCTGGTCCCTGGCCAGCTGCCCTTCATCTTCAAAGATCACAGCACCCAAAGCCTCACCAATATCCAGTATCCCCTCCCTCTGCAACCCTCTTCCCTCTTCTGAGGACCTGTGATTGTCCCAGCCCATGGGGAAATTCGGTTTTTCCTCCCCCAGGCAGAATGTTTAATTTCAAAAGAAAAGGTGGGGGGAGGTGAGTAAAAATAAGCCTCATTAGTTTGGGGGGAGTTTCCTGTCTGCCAGCATTTTATGGGGTTCATTGAGGGATCTGGGGCATTAACCATGAGGTTGCCTGTTTGCTTGTTTGTTTCACAACCATCTTCCTCGTGGTTTAAGGATTCCCTGCCCTCCCCAGCAGGATACAGATCCACAGTAAATCTTGGAGATATCCCAGCTTCATCTTTTACTTGAAGTCTTCCCCTGGGATAGCATGAAGGAATGACAGACACATTCACATATTAACAAAGGGAAGTGCTTCTATGGCTCAGAAGTGTTTGAACCTGTAACTCATACTATACACACACACACATACATACATGTATATGTATATATGTGTGTGTGCATACATTTACATATGTGTATATGTATGTGCATATGTATATTGTATACATATATGTATATATACACATATGTGTGTGTACACACACACATACACGGTAGGGGGCTGTTCTGTCATAGCCCAGGTTTTGGCAGAAAGCTTACTATGTAGCTGAGGTTGACCTTGAACACCTGATCTTCCTGCCCCCACCTCTGGAGTGCTGGGATTATAGATGATGGGCAGCACACCTGGTTGATGAGGTTCTGAGATGGAGTCCACGTTAGGTAAACCCTCTACCCAACGAGACACACCCTTAGCCTTACTTCTGGTAAGGGGTGAATTTTGTGCCCTAGAGTTTGCAACAGTTTATCTGAATTTATCCCCCCCTTACTAACACAATTCCAATCACTAATCATTGTCAATTTGCTAATAATAATAATAATAATTTATAGTGTTTTCTTTTTGTTTGTTTGTTTGTGTTTGTTCATTTGTTGTTGTTGGTTTTGCTTTGAGACAGGGTCTCACTAGGTGGTCCTGCCCTGGAATTTACTGTGTATACTTCAAACTCACAGAGATCCTCTTGCCTCAGCCTTCCAAGTGCACCACCGAAGTCGACTTCAGTTTGTTAAGAGCGATGCTGAGAGCTGGTTTGCCCATTTGAAAGCCTTCTGCTCATCTTGTTACTGTCACAATGACTTTTTTTTTTGTTTTGTTTTTACGAGACAGGGTTTCTCTGTATTGTTTTGGAGGCTATCAGTCCAGCCCAGCCTCGAACTCACAGAGATCTGCCTGCCTCTGCCTCCTGAGTGCTGGGATTAAAGGCGTGCACCACCACCGCCCGGCCATGATGACTTATTGATCAGTTGCATCAACCTGGTTTCCTTTGAGTTATCCCACTTTCCCACTAAAATCAGGTGACAACGATATGGCAACCTTAAGCCAGAGCTTGCCACCAGCAGCTCCAAGATACAATCACAGCTTTCTATAGGAGAGGAAACAGAGGCTCAGAGAAGTCAGGGAGGTTCTCCAGAGTCACACAACTGGGAAGTGTCACAGCTGGATTTCAAACATCTTTCTGATGTCCTATATTACTCCAGGGTCCTCCTAAGCCTGGCTACACATTTGCTATTTACAAAGCTGACTATGACTTGGTGATTACTATCTGGGATGCCAGTCAACCACACATGGCCTTTAGCTATTTCACTTGGGCAAGGCTAGGATTTCAGGGCCAGCCCACCCAGTGATTAAGGGGCCCCTCTTCTCTGCCATTAATTGTTTTAGCTGCCCAACACCTTCATGGGGCAGGTGAATACAATTAGCTCATTTACAAACCAGCAAAAACCGGAGAGGTTACATGGTTCCCTAGTGCTACCTGGCAAGAGTGACTCAGCCAAGAATAATAAATAATATTATTTCAGGAGACTCAAACACAGTGGACCGTGGGGCTTCCTGGGGCCTCTGGTTGCCCAACATCAGTAGGCACTTCCTGGCTCAAGTCCTTTACAGCCAACCCTTCCCACTGCAGCAGAGGCAGGGACACTGCTATGGCTGTGAGCGCAGGATCCCTAGCCTTTTCTTAATATCATTCTCTCCCTCCCTCCCTCCCTCCCTCCCTCCCTCCCTCCCTCCCTCCCTCTCTCTCTCTCCCTCTGTGTGTGTGTGTGTGTGTGTGAGTCTGTCTGTCAGTCTGTCTATGTGTGTGTGTCTGTCTGTCTATCTGTGTGTGTGTGTGTGTTGTGGATGTCAGTGCACAATCTCAGGTGTTGTTCCTTAGTCACTATTTTTTTTTTTTGAGGCAGGGTCTCTCACTGGCGTAAACCTCACTGATTTGGCTGGCAAGCCAGCAAGACCTAGGAATCCTCCTCTCTCTACCTCCTCACACTGGGGAACAGGTGTACACCATGATACCTAGCTGTCTTAGTTAGAGTCACTAATGTTGTGATGAAACACCATGACCAAAAGCAACTTGAAGGGAAAAGGGTTTCTTCCCTCACTTCCACATCACTATTCATCATCAAAAGCAATGAGGTCAGGAACTCAAGCAGGGCAGAAACCTGGAGGCAGGAGCTGATGCAGAGGCCATGGAGGGTGCTGCTCACTGGCTTGTTCCTCATGGCTTGCTCAGCCTGCTTTCTTATAGAACCCAAGACGACCACCCACAATGGGCTGGGCCCTCCCCCATCACTCACTAATTAAGAAAATTCCCTACATGCTTGCCTAAAGCCAGATCTTAATGGAGTCATTTCTTCCATTAGGGTTCCCTCCTCTCAGATGACTGTAGCTTGTGTCAAGTTGGCATAACGCTAGGTCGCACATCAGCTTTATTTAGCATGGATGCCGGGGATTGAACTCACATCTCTCCAGCTTCTTTTGTTTTCAGATCAAAGCCTGATGAGTTTTTGCATCAAGAGGATGCACAACACTGAGGTGTGTGTGTGTGTGTGTGTGTGTGTGTGTGTGTGTGTGTGTGTGTGGTGGTGGTGGTGGTGGTGGTGGTGATGGAATCGGTAAAAATAGCTCAGGAGATGCTTAGCAACCGTAGGGCGACCTTGAAGGTGGATTAGCCTTTGACTGTGTGCTCTGAACCTCACACAGGCAGAGGGGAGGGGGATGCAGAGGCTGCAGATGCTGAGAGCCTTGGTATAGATAAAATTCCCTCCCCCTGGGCTCCACCTGGCCACTTCCCTGGTGGCCTTGGCTATGTTTTCAGTTCCCAGTGACCAATGCGACATCCCGGAATGAAGCTGACACTACCTGGCTTCCACACAAAGAAAATGCCAGTGTGTTGGACCTTCTAGGACCCATCCCCTCATCCCCAGAAGGGGAACTGCCTGGGGTGATCTGGAAGGTCCAGGTTGTCCCAGGCATCCTCCCCAGTGTTTTCTTGGAAGAGGGTTCCTTTTTTAAGCCCCTCCTGCTGGCTTGAGTAAGAGTTGGGGGTCTTTTTTATTACATTTTTAAATTGTGTATGTATATCACAATTAATAAAAACCCAGAGACAGATATTGAGGTTCAAGCTGAAGATCAGAAAAGCAAAGCAGCCAACCACTAGAGAGTTCTTACCTTTATCAAGGCTGGGGCGATCCTGTCCTCAGTGTGACTGCAGACGGAATACACTGCACTCCTCTCTCCACCCGCCTTATAGTCCTCTCCAGTGCTGGGATTAAAGGCATGCACCACCACCGCCCAGCTTCCATGCCTAACTAGGGTGGCTGCTAGGATTAAAGATGTGTGCCACCGGCATTACTACAACGGGACCCAGGGCCTGATCTTCGTGGTGGACTGCGCCGACCGCGACCGCATCGACAAGGCCCGCCAGGAGCTGCACCGCATTATCAATGACCGGGCGATGAGGGACGCCATAATCCTCATCTTCGCCAACAAGCAGGACCTGCCCGATGCCATGAAACCCCATGAGATCCAGGAGAAACTGGGCCTGACCCGGATTCGGGACAGGAACTGGTATGTGCAGCCCTCCTGTGCCACCTCCGGGGACGGACTCTATGAGGAGCTCACATGGTTAACCTCTAACTACAAATCCTAATGAGCATCCTCCACCCATCCCCCGGAAGGAGAGAAATCAAAAACCCATTCATAGGATTATCACCACCACCATCAACCTCTCTCAATTGCCACTTTCTTTTTTGAATCTGAACTCTGGAGTTACTGTTCTACGGTTTAGTGGGGTTGGGGTTTCCTTTTTTTTTTTTTTTTTTTTTGGCTTTGCTTTAGGATGCTCTGATCTGATATTTGACACGAATACAGTGCTAGATGCTCTTGTGACTTCCAGCAAACGGGGTGGGGTAATAGCAGCTCTTGGTAAAATCCTTTATAATAATGGTTTGATTTTTTTATGTCCAGAGAATCTTTTTCCCCCCAATGTATGCTTTTTTCCTTTTTGCCCAGTTTCTTATCACTTGCTGTAGATGGCTTATTTTGCATTCATGCAGACTATGTTGCAAGTCTGTTTCATCTAGTAAACTGAAAATTATTGCTTAAAAAAATGTGTGCTACCACTGCCTGGCCCTGTATGACTGACTAGTGTGGCTAATTTTGCACCCTGATCTTTATTTGTTAGATCATAATCAAAATATCACCACGAGTGTGCACATGAATGGAGATCTCAGAGTAACCTGTAGGAGTCAATTCTCACCCTCCAACATTTAAGTCCTCTGGATTGAACTCAGGTCACCAGACCAGGCAGCCAGCACCTTTGCCTGCTGAGCCCCTTTGCTAGCCCATGCCAGGCCTTCTGGGCCTAACTGGGGTCAGTTAGGAAGTGTCCCAGGCACAGGAAGCTCCTCTCACATCTGTGCTACTCAGATGGGTCTAAAACTCTCCGTTTTTTTATTATTATTCATAAAACCCCATCTAGAGACTTAATGCACATCTTGGCTTGTTTGAACGTGAGGAGCCCCTGAGTCCGGGCTGTTACTTTCATTGGTTTCTGTTGGCTGGGACTTTCACTTCTCGACTAAGTCTATCGAAACCTGCAAGTGTCTTTAAATGTCTGTGTAACTCCCATTTAAAAAAGAACCGCTTTATACTAAGGGAACCGTTCACCCTCTGTCTCTGGATTGATTAGTTTCAGAAAGCTGAATTCCAATGTGCCCCTGGGGCACTGTGTGGGGAGCTACCCCAGTTCAGCTTGGTTCCCCAGCACATCCCCCTGACCACAGCTGATCCTCTGATAGCCCATCTTGTATCCTCTCCAAAATAAATGATGGAAGTGTTGTGGTTCCAGTGGCATGGAGAGCCCGTCTGCCGGTGCCATCTGATGCCTCAGCAGGTGGAGCCGAAGAGCCCAGGATGTAGCAGCCACCAGGGCACATTTACAGGCTGCAGGCTGGGGTGGGGGAGGATGCGCCTGTCTCTTCCCTCCTGAAACTAAGCTGGGAAGGAGGTATGATTTGCACCTCTTGTTCTTAGAACTCATGCCAGCGGTTTGCCCGGACCTTACTGCCTGTGAGACAGATTGCCACCAGTGTCCTGTGTGACCTTGGGCTGGGCACTTCCCCTCTCTGAGTCACTGAAAAGGACTTTATTAATGGGCGCGTTTTCTTTGTGCCCCTGAGAGAGTAAGACACTTGCTCATGCCAGGGAGTTAGCAGGTGACACAACCAGAGTTTGCTCAGGTACTCTGAAAAGCCCAGGCTCTGACCCCATCACAGTAGCATAGCTTGTGTGTCACCTGTGAGGACTCAGATGCTATCATCCATCACCCAGTCCTTAGATCACTGGTTCTCAGCCTTCCTAACGCTGCGACCCTTTAATACAGTTCCTTATGTTGTGGTGGCCCCCAACCATAACATTATTTTCCTTGCTACCTCATTACTGTAATTTTGCTACTGTTATGAATCATACTATAAATATTTGTGCTTTCTAATGGTCTTGGGTGACGCCTGCGAAAGGGTTGTTGGATCCTCAAAGGGGTCTTGACCCATAGGTCCAGAAACAGTGCTTTAGAGGCAAGCAGAGGTTGCTTAGCATCATTCCCACCTGTGGCGAATCCTATTTTCCAGGTGCAAGTGATAGAAATGTAAGACAAGGGCTGGAGAGATGGCTCAGAGGTTGAGAAGAGCTCTGTCTGCTCTTCCAGAGGACCCAGGTTTAATCCCCAGCACCCACATGGCAGCTCACAACTGTCTGTAACTCCAGCTCTGGGGCTCTGACACCGTTACACACACGCATGCGCACAGGAAAAACATCAATCAACATGTAGTAAAGGTAAATAAATTTTAAGGAAAGAAATTAAGATGAGGAGGCACTGCTCAAACCTCCAGGTGACTGGGAAGAGGGGAAGAAGATGGGCACAGGCCTAATATTGCAGCTCTCCAGAGGCTGAGGCAGGAGGGTCATGAGTTTGAGGCCAGCCTGGGCTACATAGGAAGACTCTGTCTCAAAAAACAAACAAACAAAACAAAGAACAGTAAGAGCTTGGGGGGGGGGGGAGTCTGTGTAGCTCAGAGGACCGAATGCTCCTAGCACTTAGGAAATCTAGGGTTCCAGTCCCAGCAGTGTGTAATGTGGATGGGGTGGCACACTCGGAAGGTAGAGGCAGGAGGATTAAGGTCATCCTCAGCCACATAGCAAGTTCTAAGCCAGCCTGGTCTACATGAGACTGTGTCTGGGAAGGAAAGGAAAAAGAAAATGATTGAGCAGATGAAGGACCACACGAGAGAAGATAAAGTGACCCTTTGGTTCTGGGCTCTCCTCAGCCAGCCCCACAGAGCCCTTTCCAGGACACCATGGGCCTCTCTTAAATCATAGTGGCTCTTAATTGCTGCAAGCTAAGAAGTGGTCACGGTCCCCATATATTTCTAGAGACATCATAAACAGGGCTCCCCAAGCTGCAGAGCACCCGAGATTCAAACTCAAGACAACATGAACCCAGAGAGCTGGCTCTTGAGCCCCTCGTCACCTACCCTGCTGGCCCTGTGCTGTGGCAGCCTGGGACTTTTATTTTATGCTATTTTATCTCACTGGACACTCTGTGACAACAATGTCTTCTCCAGTGCCTAGTCCTCCACCATGCCCCTTCTCCAATGTCTGCGGATCAGATTCCTGTATTGTCAACTGATGGGGCCAACCCAGGGTCACCTCTTCAAAAGGGTCTCTTAAATACCAATGTCCAAGGCAGAAGTCACACCATGAGGTCCATGTCCTCTTGCAGTGGCCAAAACAGTCACAATTGCTCCTTAGAAACTGATAGCCTTCGTCAGGCTCATACCGTGTGCACTCAACATTGGTTTAGTTGTGTTGGTTTGGTTTGAGGCAGGGTCTCACTATGTAGCCCAGGCTGGCCTCCAGTAGGCCTCCTGCCTCACCCTCCAGCGTCCTAGGACCATAGGTCATTCTCAACTACATAGAAAGTTTGTTTTGTTTTGGTTTTGGTTTTGGTTTTTTGAGACAGGGTTTCCCTGTATTGCTTTGGAGGCTGTCCTGGAACTCTCTCTGTAGACCAGGCTGGCCTCAAACTCACAGAGACCTGCTTGCCTCTGCCTCCTGAGTTCTGGGACTAAAGGTATGTGCCACCAATGCCTGGCTTACATAGTAAGTTTAAGGCCAGCCTGAGTTACATGATTCCCAGCCTCCATAAATAAATAAATAAAGTGGGAACAGTGGAGCAAGTAGTCACTAGTCGCCTCTAGAAGCTGAGGAAGGCAGGGAACCATGCCCCCAAGCCCTCAGGGAGGCCAGTTCTTCCTGACACTTTGGACCTCCAGACCCAGAAGAGAATACCTCAAGCATTTAAGCCACCAAGTCTGTAGCCACTTGTTGTGGCTGCCCCCAGAAGACCCCACATGGACAGGCAAGGGCCTGTCCCGATGTCTTCAGCATCTTGCAGGCAGAAGGGTCAGCACGTGTGCCTGATCTAGAGAAGGCCTCCCGGGGCCCATCTGCAATGTCAGCTCCCTGGGCCCCAGGTGGCCTCTGTATCCTTCCCACTCCAGGTCCCCGGGATGGACTCCCGCCTCCCTCCAGAAGTGCCATTCAGATGAATGGCTCCTTTATGTCTCGATAAGGAATGATTGTTTCCAGTGATGTGTGCGTCTCCATGGAAACATTCCTATACACTGTACATTGACTTGGATTTTCCAGCAGGGTACGTCTTGGGAGCATCCGTCTGTGACTGTGGCCTCAGTCTACACTGGTGGGGAGGGGTGAGGGTGTGCTTCCTGTCTGCCAGACCTTATGGGGGATGAAGCCATGGAAAGAGAGCCTCAGGCTTCAGGATGCCAGCCCCAGCTGCTCGTGTGACCTTGAGCAAGCTGCCCCTTCCCATACTCTCAGCTCCTTTGCTTACAACCAAGTTGAGTGACAAAGAGCTGCTGGCTGCTCTAAAATCCAACAGGGCAGGAGACAGATGTGGGACAGATGTAGCTTTACTATTGTTTTTTAAAAATAACTTATTTGTGTGTGCAATGTACGTGTGAGCACAGAATGTACGGAGACCAGAGGTCAACCTTGGGTGCTGTTCTTTAGGAGTCATTCAACTTGACTTTTTTTTCCTGAGACAAGGTTTTTCAGTGTAGCCTTGGCTGTCCTGGAACTCACTCTGTAAACCAGGCTGGCCTTGAAATCACAGAGATCCTCCTGCCTCTGTCTCCCAGGTGCTGGGATTAAAGGTTTGTACCACCACCACCCAGCTCATCTTGTTTTTTCTTTGAGACAGTCTTCTTGCTGGCCTGGCACTCACTGTCCCAGCCAGACTGGTTGAACTTGGAGCCCCAGGGCTCCTCCTGTAGCTGCCTCCAAGTGTGCACCGCCACACCTGACTCTTCTCATAGGCGCTGGAGACTGAACACAAGCTACAAGAACTTGACTGATTGGGAAAAATCCAACCCAGCAGACGCAATGACTTCCACCCAGTTCTACTGCCCACGGGTTCCAGAGTGACCTAGTGTTTTCAGAAGGTAAAATAAATAAAAATAAGAATGCTTCCCATGATTAACTGCCAGTCAGAGAGGGTTTTTTTTTCTTTTTTCCTTTCCATGTCCAGAAAGCAGATTGTATCCATTAACTCTTGGTTTCTTTTTACCACTGTGATTCTGTATTTCTTGTTTGATTCTACTTTGTTCTAATTTTTATTTATTTATTTGCTTGTTGTTTGTTTTTCGAGACAGGGTTTCTGTGTGTAGCCCTAGCTGTCCTGAAACTTTCTCTGTAGACCATGCTGACCTACAACTCAGGGATCTGCCTGCCTCTCCCTCCCCAGAGCGCTGCAATTAAAGGTGTGAGCCACCATGGTCCGACCTTCTTTTACTTTTTAGAAGAACACAATGGTGAATGCCTTTGAAATTCTTAGTGACCACCAATGGCTTTAGAAATCAACTTGAACAGGCCTTGGTGGTGGCATACACACCTTTAATCCTGTTATGCAGGAGGCTGAGGGAGAAGGGTCCTGAGATTTTTAATATTTGTTTTATTTATGAGTAGAGTAGGCTCAGAGGAGGCAAGTATCTTCCCCAAGGTCACACAGCCCATAAGTGGCAGAG